GTCTTAGGTATGTCTCAAGAGCATAGTGTAGTTTCTAAGTTCGTAGATTCTATAGTCGGGTGCTGTGACTTTAGTCTTAACATGGTTGTATCCTGGGATTCTGAATCTCTTTAAACTGCCGCCACACTGCAGGAGATTTAAAGAATTAAGGAAAGAGATCATATCTCGACTACATGAATCGTCTTTCCTTAAAGGATTTATTAAAAAAAATTATGCTTTATAATCGTTTATTATTGATTTCAATCGTTCTTTGATTTGTTATTTTCAATCTAGATTTTTGCGGTCGTACAAGTTGAAGGCTTCGTCATCGTACCACCAATACATTGATCTCGGCTTCTTTTTCTTCGGCTCTATGGTTTCGAACTCCTTCTCGTTATCAATGATGATTGCATCAGTATAGTAAGGTTGTGATCCCAAGGAGTTGAATGTATGAGGAACATGGTAGCGATTGGTGAGTCCGATCTGCGACGACTCTTGTTTCTCTTTCGTCATGTTTCGTTTCGTACTGATTATTGAACCAAAGATGAATCTGGAAAGAGATTTGGAAATTAATCATACTAGGATTTTGTCTGCTCTACCTGTGGGCTAATGTTTTTAATTTTTATTAAATTTAAATTTTATTTTTCTTCTCTATATTATTAATATATACTGGTTGTGTATGTTTGTTAGAATGAGAACATTGTATTATTTTTGAATGGTATTTTAGTTTCGTTTGTATGTGATATTTGTTTTAAGTTAGTAGTTTTGTATATATAATTATTGTATCATTTGTCGATTACATTTTGTTATAGTTAAGAATTTGATGTAAAATTGGATAGATTTATAATTTGTAAGAAAACAAATTATTGATAATTTGATTATATAAAACAAAATATGAAATTCAAATTATTGTTAGTTGTTGTTAGAAAACAAGAAGTTATGTAAGATATTTACAAAATTCAACAAATATAGTTGATAGATGTAAATTATTTGTATAATGCATCTATGCAATCCGGAAATCCGATATATTTTAGTTACAGGTTTATGAATAGAGGTTAAGTATTTTTTTTACCAAATTTTTATCTTGTCAAAATCGTTCCATTACATTCTACTTCTGATCTCAAATTTCGATTTCATATAGAAATAAGTATTTCTATAAATGTTTATTTTTCTATAGATGTATTGTATTTCTGTTAAGTTTTATTTTTGATTTATATGTATTACATACATTACTAAATTTTAACCTACCATGAAGACGTGTTATTATTTTTTAATTTGTTTTTATTTATATATTATTGATTCAACCCAAAAATCCTGCTATATTTGAGTCAGTTAGGTTAATTAACATAATTATTTATTATCAAATATTTCATTTCATCAAATTCATCCCATTACATTCTCTTTCTGATCTCGAATTTTGATTTCATATAAAAATATATTTCTATATGAGATTTACTATAGTTTTGTTTTGTATAATATATCCATACAACCCATAAATACAACTACATTTTAATTTGGTTTATGAATAGAGTTATGTATTTTTTTTTAATCCAAATTTCATCTACTCATTTGTTAATATCGTCCCATTACATTCATCTTGTCAATATCGTTCCACTAGAAACTATACTATGTATATTGTTTTTTTAATAAAAATAATTTATTTGATGAGAAAAACAAAAAAAGATAATGATATATTACAATTAAATTAAAAAATTATTTGAAATTTTTAAACACATATTCAGATCGCTGTCACCGATCTTCTCCGTCGCCATGAATTCATTGAGTTAAATGCTACTCCGATTAAATGCTGCCACCAGTTTTATAAAATTAACTGATAAAAAATTGTAATATTTGATTAAAAAGGGAAAATTTAATAAATGACCCAAGTTAAGTAGGAAACGAAATATTCTGAGCAAATAATCGATATTTTGGTCAACACATAATACACCCGCAGATCGTGCTGATAATACCCCTACTTTCTATAGTGGATGGTGGATTTTGGGGAGCATTACATGCGAGGTGACGTTGAAGAATCTTACGCCGCCGACAGAAAAAATCTGGTGGATGAAGTTGCTTAGGCAACAAAACCGATAAAGGTAAGGAAACTATAAAAAATATAAAACTTGTTGGATAAAAATATATGCGGAGCTAGGCGAGTAGTTAAGGTGCATCAAATGGTGGACCTTTCAGTTTCTCTTCTTCTTTCCAAAAGAGATAGTTGACTCAACGGTTGCTTTCATCGTATTAACTGCGAAACAAGATTGTTGATCCTGCAATAACTATTCGTCCGCAAAGGTGACGAAACATATAAAATAGGGAGATTTCGTAGACTTATGCTGTTACTGTAGTGTAAGTTACGGGGCTAACATGATTCTAACCTATTTAGGAAAATGGCACATTTGGTGGGAGTGGTCTGCGGAGAATGGATCAGGCATGAGGAAGGATGGTGGGACTATGAGCCGGATCGAACCACCCTGAACTACGCAGTCACTCTCAGCAAGCATGCAGATATCTTCGCAATGTAAAAGGTTGTGAGGGAGAAATTGCACCTGCAGCCTCAAGAGCAAATCGAGTTGAGTTACCAATAGCCACACTAGATGCTGGATCCGGAATGGAGGCGAGCACTGCCCATTCAAATTTCGGATGACAAAGGCGCCAGCTTGTTTATAGCGATAAGAGCGGCCTTCCCGAAGTGTTCCTGCGAGTTAGCGTTAACAAGCCGGAGATCGCTAACAATGTCGTTGTTAGCGATAATAGAGTTAGTGGACGCTCAACGGCCCTGCCTGCTACCCGTGTTGCCGGAGCTGCGTGCCTTCAGGCAAGCCAGTTGCCCTATGCCTCACTGCGGCCGCTAGCAATATACTATTCCAGGGCCCCGCAAACCGGATACTACAGACCAGTAAGCAACAAAGGGATTATATGACCAGGTATTAAGTATAGAGAAGTCCTGAAATACCCGTGATATGTTTTCTTTTTTGCTTATCTAATTTATAAATTGACAATCACTGGTGATCCACCCATGCAGTTTGTCTACTACTCCCCACCGGAAAGGGAGCTGTTAGTGGTAAGTAAAAATTTGACGCAGTGACATATTCACAAAAAACCAGTTAACATAAATGTCGTCTTTGTAGATGGACGAGAGAAAATGACACTAGCAAGTCGACCAGGGCCGTCTAATGTCCTAGTGTAGCTCTTCTATTCCTCTGGCATACTCCTACGAGGAGGTGACTAATCTTCTAACAATGGTGTTAGCGTTGATTTAATAAAAAAAAATTAGCTGATTATATCTACTGACTTAGATTCAGATTCGAGCAACCACCCCGTGTCGAGGCTGGGGAGTCTTTGATCCGAACACATACCTGGGTTCAGAACCTCGACAACGCATTGGCCGGGATATTTTCTCCAGCCGTCGTCTGATGTGCCGCAGAGGTCTACGAACTGTAAACCCCCCCCCCCCCTTCGGGAGAGCATGGTTAGTATATGTACTATAAATCGAAAGTGTTATGTGAGTCAGACCCGTGATCGGTTTTATTTACTTTCCGCGCAGTCCACGGGAATCAACCACAAGATTTGAATGAGTAATGATAGTTGTTCAATGCGGAACCAGCCAACAACAATTTGTTTCCCCGGACCGCAAATATGGAAGATAAATGACGCCATATCGAACCACAAAATCTGGACATTGAGCTATAACTAAGTCTAACTAATGCGTACATTGTCGTGTCTGCAGCCCGGCAAGCCAGCGAAGTGCAAGTACTTATGATCAGCTCTACCGATTCTATATCCACGCCTACTGGCAGCCTTTCGATGGATTACAAAACCTCAAATGAGTGAGAGATCCCAAAGATGGAGTTTAAGAATATATATATATATCGATAACAGGTTGGTTAGCGGTGGTACTATATTGTAGATAATAAATAACTGTTCATAAATAACTGTTGTTGTGAACGTAAAATTTAGCTTTAACTTTATAGAGCTACTATATTGCAGAGGATACAATGGAACCAACTGAAATAGATTTAACAGAAGCAGAACCACATTGCAGAACAACGCCTCCTTCTGTGGAATTGGGGTGCAAGAGAACACCGGTTATGGACAAAGGGAAAGGTATCGCACTTAGGTTGGGCTGTGGGGGCAGAGATGTGGGTATCGAGAAAGGCAAGGGTTTGGGTAATGCGCCAGTGGTCGACGGATGTTGACAGTGTCGCAGAGGAGGGGGGGGGGCTATCGGCCTTAGTGCTACAACAATCAATTTGAGAAGCTTCACTGATCTTTAGCTCTAGTCTTTTGCTTTAATACGTCTGTTTCTTCACTCCCTCTTAAGACATTTCACTGCTAATTCTGCTAATTTTTTTACTTTTTTCTTCAACGCACAAAAATCAACATCAGATGTGGATGCTAATATCATATGTGAGTGAATCCAAAATCTTTCTCAGCATAGTGAGAGAAAACAGACCTATCTGTGTCTTGGGGTCGAAAAATTCAGTCTCTTTTATAGTTACTCAAAAACACTACTTAAATCTGTCGATTGCATGCTAGAACAGTAGAACCCGATGAAGATACGTGTTGTTTTTCTTCTGAAGCTTGAAAATAACCCATCAGTTCCATGTTAGCAAATCACTAGCAAAAGTGATTCTAGCTATATAGAGTTTGATTGAGATATATAATAGCTCAGATGTGCTTTATTTCGACCTGTACGCATATTATGGTGATCAAGTTCGTTTGTGGATGAATCGCTATAGGTTCTGACTTTTGATTATTAAACTTGTTTAAAAATAAATGCAGTTTTTTTATAGAATTAATCGCAAATGGAAACATTAAATCTAACTCTGATATAGACGATTGATTAACAAGATGAAGAACATACTATGATTTACGAGATCACTCTTGTTCTACATAAAAAACAAATTAAGAAGCGATTAAAGGAAAAAAGAAGCAATTAAGCGTGGGAATTAATGAGGACAGAGCATGTCTCTGACGTAGCCGCCAAGCCATGGGTCCATGGTCTCTGACCTATCGCATCAAACGTCCCATGGCATACTCTTGAGATCTTCCACCGTAACACCCAACTCCTCAAGGGACACGTGTCCATTACTCTCATCACCGACATTCTCGTCATCGCTCAAATCAATGAAATTATCTTGATGACTTGATGGTAATGGTCTCTCATCATCCTCCTCTTTCTTCGTCTTCGTCTCGCGGTGAAGATCAGTAGTAGAAGTAGAAAAGCTTGAATCCATTATGTCTCTGACGTGGCCGCCAAGCCATGGATCCATGATCTCTGACCTAATCTCCCAAGTGGGATCAAACGCTTCCCATGGCATACTCTTGAGATCTTCCACCGTAACACCAAACTCCTCAATTGACACGTGTCCATATCCAACCCGATCTTGGTTTTCTTTACTCTCGTCTTCCTCGCATAATGATGATCTCTCATCGTCTTTCTTCTTCGTATTGGTTTCCTGAAGAACGGTAGAAGAAGAAAAGCACGAATCTTGAATTTCTTTACCCTCGTCTTTCTCGCACAAATCAATGAAATTTTCATGATGATGACTTGGTAATGATGATCTCTCATCGTCTTTCTTCTTCGTATAGGTTTCTTGAAGAACAGTAGAAGAAGAAAAGCACGAATCTTGATTTTCTTTATTCTCGTCGTCCTCGCACAAATCAATGAAATTATCATGATGATGACTTGATAATGATGATCTCTCATCTTCTTTCTTCTTCGTATTGGTGGTATCTTGAAGAACGGTAGAAGAAGTAAAGCACGAATCCACACTTGATGAAGCGTCATTCTCCTTCGCCTTCGATAACCCTTTGACCACGCAACTTAGTTCGTTGAAGGCTTCAACGTCGTCCCACCAAGACCCTAATCTCCGCTTCTTCTTCTTCGGCTCTAGGGTTTCCTTCTCCTCGCCATCGTCGTCGATGATGACAATTGCATCAGTAAAAGACGATCCCAAGGAGTTTAATTGCTGAGGAACGAGGAATCCGAGTTCGTCATCGGTATGACTCGAACGTTTCTTGGCGAGTGCGATCTGCGACTCGTGCTTCTCTATCGCCATGTTTCGAATTCGTAAACTATTATTGACGAATTTAAGAAGAGATTTGGAGAGAAATAAAATCCAATCGAGAGAGACTATGAAAAACTAAACTCTTAATCTGGATTTTGGTGGTTTGATTAATCGTATGCGTTCTTTAATTTATATAGAAAAGCATAGGAGTGATCACTCTCGAAAAAAAGGAAAACGAAACCTAAACAAACAAAAAAAAAATATTGTTTTCTCAGATAAGGGAAAAATAAAAGGAAATTGTTCTCTCAGAAAAAAAGGAAACTTTAGCCGTTGACTTTGTCAACTCTCTGTACAACGTAAATAAGTAACAATTAAATATAAAACATAATTATATAATTTTTTTATAAAAATTACTGTTTCTTATATATTTTCGACATCTTTAGAGCATGATTAGCATGATTATTGGACAGTTTTTAAGAGTTTTTTAAAAAAAAGAAAAAAAAATGACATGGTAAAATTTGAAAACAGAATCACCTTTCTGCATAAAGACTGCAGAAACGCCTTTTAAATGACGTGGTGAGATATCACTGGTCAATTGTTTTTTTCTTTTTTCTTTAAAAATCATTTTTTTTTTAAAACAATTTTTTTAATAATAAAAAAATTTAGGAGCTTTTCTCTTCGGCGCGGTTGTGATGAAACATATGAAAATCATTGATGGTTTAAACTTAAAACAACCCAAACACAAGACATTATCACTACAAGAGTTTCATAACATCATAAACCATATCTTTCCAAAATACTACCAAAAGATAGCTAGAGTCATATATATACTCACCAGCAACATTCAACGAAAGATAACTTGACACCTGGGAGTACGTTCTGTGAATCCAAGAAGCTCCTTGGTGATATCTGAATCTGTGAGACACAATATGAAAGTCTTAAGAACTTCCGAATTCTCAAGAAAGTACCTCACCACTTCCATCCAAATTCTCTTCTTGTGATTCACTACTTTCATTGCAGCTTTCTTACTCATCTTCCCAGTTTTCTCTCGGGTAAGTACTTCTTTGACCTCAACACAGTCTAGAGTGGACTGTAAACAGAGAGGCACCTTGGTAAGTTGAAGATCCTCTGGCTCTAGCGTCATCGAGTAAGCAAAGTACTGCCAACAGAAACGAGAAGACAAAAACAAAATCAGGTACTTCCCACAATCATGTTCCTAAAACAAAACCACAAGTTTATCAACAGGGTTTATTACCATGGTGAGGTGTTTTAGATTCGGGCACATGTCAAGAAAATCAGGCAGCGAATCTAATAAGAGATTGCTGAATTTGGCCTCCAAACGTGTTAGGTAATGGAATTTGGGAATCGGTAGTTCCAAGCATTGTTTCAAGCAAAAATAGATGCGGAGGATCTGCAAGTAAACATAAATGGATACATGTGAGATTTTTTCCTGATAGAGCAAGTTTATTAGTTTTCATATATATATATATATATATGTTACCTCAAGAGTACGCTCAGATATGACCATGTGTCTTCCACTTGAGACACCAACAAGAAAGTCATGGATTAAGTGCAATTGCATAGTAAAGCCAAGCTCAGTATTAAATTGCGTATCAACTTCAGTCATGACCAAGGAACTCAGATCTTTTGCTGCAAATCTATAAGAGTAACCATCTCGGAAGTCAATGTATTTGACTCCTGGAGAATCTATCTCAATCGCATATGCTGAAGAGACCCCAGGGCCAGACCTTACACATAACCTCTCAAGACTTTTGGATCTTACAAGCAGAACCGGTACATTATCATCATGAGCCCTACACACTGTCAGATCTTCAAGAATCGGGCACCCTGAGATGAGGCTCGCCATGATCAAAGAACCATCACTGTGCTGAATCTGAATGTTTTCAAGGTGCATGATCTTCAAGCAAGGCAGATGAACATCAGACTCTGGATTCAGCATCGCTATGTTGACAAGCTTCAAAGACACAAGTGTCTTGCTCTTGTACATATCTAGAGGCATGGGGTCTTTGATGAAAGGACGCCTAAGCGTGTCAACTTCTAGATGCTGAACTCCAAGGTGAATAGCTGTAGCGAACCAATGGGTGATTCCAAATAGATACATGTTGCATTCATCGTATTTTATCTTGAAACTTTGGAGGGGTGACTCGCTGTTAAGCTCAAGAAATCTATCAGTGAACTTCTTGATGGCAGATTTGGATGAGGAAGGAAAGTCATCTGAGTGCAGCTCTAATCCTGGGACACTAAGCCATATATTTCTCCATCTCGTGGATAAAACAGATGTCCTTACCGAATCTTTGGTTGGAATGCATAACAGTATCTGAGTTAGCAATGAATCAGGAAGTAAGCTAATTCTGTCGAAACCCATCACGAAACCCTAAAATTTCCAAATGAACAATACCAAATGTTATGATTCCGAATTTGAAGAACTAACCGTCGATTTAATTCGCCCAAGTGTTCGATTTGGGAGACTAATCGATCAGTAGAAGCAGCCGAAGAAGTTTTTCTCAGAGAATAATTTCATCGGAAGGGAAAAAGACGCCTGAAGAACTTAAAGCGACGGGAAAAGAAATAAACCGTATCGAACCGAAACTTCTTAAAATCGAAACCAAACCAACTTTTAATTTAACCGTAAAAGTTAATAAAATTATAATAATATTTAGAGAAATACTTCAAACTAGGTGTACTGCCCACGGCTTGCGGAGACTAGAGAATTTACAAATAATTGTTTGAGCTTTATAGCTATATGTCGTTGTTGCAAAAATTAGCTAGGTACAAGCCATTATAAATCACAAATAAGTTAAATAAATTAAAATATAATTCAATAAAACATATTATGGATCCACTCATAAAGCCTACCTTTGTATTTTGAAAAATATTAAATAAAACCCAAACAATCAATAAAAAACCAGTGATTATAATTAAATTCAAACCGTATCCGCCCACACGGTTTAATTTAATCAATATCACATGGTTTAATTTAATTAATATTTCTATTAAGATAAATAAAGATTTTTTTTTATATGAGGGGTAAAAAGTAATCAACCATGATAACTTTCAATCACAGTCCAACTTGCTTCTTAATTAATAATATAATGACTTTAGAAAATAACAAAATTACCAGAATAATTTTAAAAAAAAATCAACAATTTAGAAAAGATTTTTAACTTTTCTAAAACATTTAGTTACAAAAATCTCATTCTCAAACTAATTTTATGATTCAATAATTTTTTTTTTAATAATAGAAATGAATTTTATAATAAAAATAACTTATAAAATTTTATAATAAAAACAAGTGTTTTTTTAAAAGAAGAAAAACTAATGTTATAATCTATTTATACTAAATAAAAATAACAATTTAGATTCCGGAAACCATTCACGTCAGCTACTATTTAAGAGTTTTTTTCCATCTATCATGTCATATAGTTATTTATATTCACATTTTTTAAATTATAAATCGAGTAAACAAAAATATTCACCGTATACAGCAATTTCCACTTATGTCATTCATATCATAAGTTTCAATCTAATAAATTGATTCATTGGAGATGCTTTGGATCCCTGCTTCGTTATTAATTGGTAACATTTCCGAATGAACTTTTTCTCCAAGTTAGTTTTCGTTGGTGATGTTAATCGTCAGCTTCTTTGTTTTGATTGTTCTATTTTGAGTTTTTAGTAATAAAACTCCCCAACTAAAGATTAATCGTATGAGAACCCCTCGATTACTAATTTAGTAACAAAACCCCTCACATTAAAGTCTGTTAATATATAAGTTCCCCTCCGTCTATAGTGTTGTTAAAACATAACAGAACACAGTTAAATAAAACACCGCGTTTAATTAACTAAAAAACAACATACGGATCTCCGGAGAGATGGATTGATAACTTTTTAATGTCAGTTTGGGTGTAGGATCTTCGGATTTTATGATGTTTTCCTATTTTGTCTACTGAAAGTAATGCTATTTTTTTTTCTCTGAATTCATAAGGTCTATTAATTTCGAGTTTTGATCGTCTTCCTCAAAGCTTTGCTTCTTATTATTATTTTAGGGTCTCTCTTAGATGTTCTCTTTTTACAGATGAGAGAAGTGGAGCTTTATTGAAACGAAGAGATCATAATAAGAAAAAATAGCAGAGAAGTGGGTGGCACGATTTGGATGGATCAGAGAAACTGTAACACCTTTGACCGCCCTTAACAGCGAGTCATCCATCCCTCTGTCGGGTTCATGGGCCATGTTCCTGTCCCAACCGACTTATTTACTGACCCTGCAATCACTAAATGATCTTTTTCCGTGTTTTGGCCTCACTCACACAGTTTCGGAAATCACTTCTCGAAAGTTCACTAATCCTAGTCCTGCTCCAGCTCAAGCACGCTTAACTCTGGAATTCTCTCAGACCTACTAACAGAAAAGATAAGTGCACTTTGGTGACATAGGTAACCGAATCAATCCATTTAAACTTATTCAAATGGGCCGGACCCGAGTCATTACATAAACAATGCTCATGTGATGTCTTTTGTCTTTAATCGGTTTGCACTTCAGTCTACAAAAGAAAATAGGGAGAAGAAAACTCAGCACTATGGAGCCGGTAGAGAACAGATCAAGCGACTAAAAGTTTTCCATTCATGGAAGAGTATATAAGCGTACAATGCTGAAAGATGTTTCTTCAGCTTCAAATCACGAAGGAGAACCACATACTTGTATAACCAGAGCCTTTGGATCGGCTCTAAAGTTAATGTTCCTTCATTACTGAAAGATGTTTCTTCCTTCCTAATTTAATTATTCACCCAAGTGTTCTTCAAATTCGTCTCTCGATTGTACAATGCTGAAAGATGTTTCTTCCTTCCTTATTTAATTATTCTTATAAACATCACTTCCTCCTCTACTTCTCCTTTCTCCTCTGCTTTTAGCCCAGATTTAGATCTTACACATCTCCAGTTTCAAACCTACATAACTTGCTATACAATGGCATGCCATAACGATAGATTCTCAGGTTACTGATAAATAGAACAACCTTACATTTCCTTTATTTCGAACCATTTTTCTCCACATACTTGTGTTCCAAAATCTAATGTAGGATCCCGTTTTTGTTGCCCAGGATTATGGCAAAGCATGTGATGATGTTAGAAGTCCACCTCACACATCATTTTCTCATTTCATGAGTTATAACATTGCATTGGAACAAAGCTTATAGCTTATTGATTAACAAAAAATGACTCCAAGCGAAGTTAAAGTGATGTACAGTTTAAAACGATAGTAGTTTAATCTAGATCTCTAGATATTTTGGTTGGAGGCATTTTTTCTTTTTAGTGAAGAGATAAGATGATGAGCCATTGTTATGGAGCCTGGGGAGGGCTAATGAGGTAATCAGCTATGTTCTTTCTTCTCTCTTCCTCTGGTTTTAAAGTGTTACAGTTCGAGCAAAAGAAAAAAAAACAATCCCACGCTTCCAAACCTCAAAATCACAGTAGTTACACCGGTTTACATCAGCTTTACCATGAAAGATACACTTCAATCAGAAAGATAATTTTCCTGTTTTAAGGGACAATATGAAATATAAATCAAATTTAGGCTCAAAGGTGAAGTAGGGTCATATAATTCATCTTTTGATGATCATGTAAGCTTTCAAATCATACTAACTACAGTTTTAAAAACTCCAAGTTATCTTTATTACATATGGTGAATTCGTGAAGCTACTTAAATCTATCAAAGATAGCAAATATGTAAAGCTAAAAAGTAAAAAGCAACCACATATATAAAGGAAACTTCAGGTACGTAGAGCATCAATGTTATATAAATTTTGTACCATTACCCATACTAAGGTGTCGTCTATTCTCACATAGACATACTCCTGTTTTCGCTACAAAAAATGGCCTGCTCTCTTTTTGTGGGGAAATCATATAGATGGATCACTGTTTGGTATTCTCACTCTTTTTTCTCTTATCATCAAGCTTGGATGGACTGTAGAAGAAGCTTCCTAACTGAAGCTATTATTAAAAGTAAAGTTGGTACGATGGCAAATCTGTGAACTAGCTGATTAGTTTGTGTTGCGTGGTCAAAGTTGTCTGTATCTCTAACTCACCATATCCATAAATAGAACCAAAAAACTTGCTTGATTTTATTACTAAATTTGAATTAGCAAACTATAAACTGAGTAGCCATCATTTTTTTTTTTTTTTGAGTTATCCATAAGCCATCGTTATAGAATTCAAAGAATGGTGTAAAGAATAACTCTCTTTATTGCTTAAGAAAATAACTCAAAACTTAAGCTATCTCAATCTCTAAACTCATAAGCTATGTCACACAACCGACATCTTCTTATATATTGCAACTTAAGACCAAAACCAAAGGATATTAGAAATCGAACTTATATTTAGACAACTCCTAAATATATTCCTAACCTCTATCTACTTAGAATTGCTTATATCTCAAGTTTTCTTCAAGCTTAATCCAACATTTTCCCTCCTAAGCTTGAAGTCAAATGTCTTTGAAGTCTTGAACACTAATGAGATTCCTCATCTCCTTAAATTTGATTCTTCTAAGTGCCTTTGTCAAGATGTCCGCATTTTGCTCGTTTCCAGGAACATGTTCAACATCTATTAATTCATCTTCAACACATTCTCTTATAAAATGAAACCTTGTGTGTATGAGTTTACTCCTGCCGTGGAAGACTGGATTTTTAGTAAGGGCAATTGCTGACTTGTTGTCGATTCGAATGGTAACCTTCTCACATGGTAGTCCAGTAATCTCACTAAGCAAATCTTGCAACCAGATTGCTTGTCTTGCTGCCTCCGTACCCGCCATGAACTCGGCCTCACATGAAGACAACGCCA